AACTATAGTTTGTTAACAAGAAATGTGTGGAGTGGTTGACGAACGAGTTTTACTGACTCCAACCTAAGTGTATGTAAACTTCCGACTTCAACTGTATATTACCACTGTAGATGGTAGGTTTATTCAGAACTAGAGGGTTATATTACCACTGTAGATGGCAGGTTCAGTGACTTCTCCTCTATATTGTGACATTAAGCTCATTTGTGTAGGGCCTTAAGTGTATTCAACGCTGAGCATGAAACCTAAGCGTTTAGTAACGCCTTGTATGAAATCATACGTAAATATCTTGGGCTGGAAAAATGCAAAAAAATGATTGATGTGAAGACAAAGTGTTGTGCAATTAACCAAATTGAATCATATGCACATGCCTGATTTCATTCAACACAGGGCAATAGTAAAATGTCCTATTTTTTCAGTTTCATTGTGTACGTGACTTTGTTCTCGCCACAGGCCCAACATCTGCACTCCCGGGATTAGGGTTAGTTTATTAAAATGACACATACAAAAAAACAAAAAATTTTACATAAGCAAATCCATTAATAAATGATTTGACCACCGCATGAAAAGGTTGTGCCTGGCTTGAAAAGAACCTTGCAGCACAAATATAACCTCAAACACGTGTACGCAAAAGTCGGTTACAGCTCGGCAGTTGAGGGACAGTGTGTGGGATGCACCGAAGCTGTGAGCAATGATGCGTCTGTCAAACCAAATGAATGGCACTACATTACATCGGTGACAGTAGGGCTACAGTGTCCAGCCATATTCATTCACGTGCAAAACATGGACCGAAGATGGAGCATCTCTGAAAGGAGATGGATACAGAGAAGCCATCAAACTTGACCATGACCTTGGACTAGCAAATACTGAAGCTATGGTACACCAGCTGTAAAGGTGTACTGAACATAGGACTAATGTAGGAAATACCTTGTTGTGATACTGCTATTATGAAGCATTATGTCTACACTATTTTAGAGAAAATGTCATGCTAATATAAACACAGTTAGAAACTCTGCTACAGACCAACAGTTAAATTAGTTAAATGAAAGCACTGTCTGTGGAAACAACTATGTATTTCTTCTCTATCATAACAAAATCATATGTGCTTATGGTCAACTCTTAATATCTTCTTTGGCAGGCCTGCAATAACCCGCTGCACTAGTCATTCCGCTACCCAAGAGTGGTAAAGAGGCCATTACTGGTTCTAACAGCAGACCTATCTGCTTGCTGCTAGCTCTTAGCAAACTGTTGGAAAAAAATGGTGTTTGACCAAATACAATGCTATTTCTCTGTAAGCAAATTAACAACAGACTTTCAGCATGCTTATAGAGAAGGGCACTCAACATGTACTGCAATGACACAAATGACTGATGATTGGTTGAAAGAAATTGATAATAAGAAGATTGTGGGATCTGTACTGTTAGATTTGAGTGCAGCCTTTGATTATTTTTTTTACCTTAACCTGTTGTTGAGAAAACATGTGTTATGGCTTGTCAACCTCTGCCATACTGTGGATTCAGAGCTATCTATATAATAGAACTCAGAGGGTTAAATTAAAACTTCTCTAATGTCAAACATGTAAAGTGTGGTGTACCGCAGGGCAGCTCTCTAGGCCCTTTTCTATGTGTGTCCATGTATGCTGATGATTCAACCATATACGCATCAGCAACCACAGCTAATGAAGTCACTGAAACCTTTAACAAAGAGTTGCAGTCAGTTTTAGAATGGGTGGCCAGTGATAAACTGGTCCTGAACATCTCTAAAACAAAGAGCACTGTATTTGGTACAAATCATTCCCTAAGTTCTGGACCTCAGCTGAATCTGGTAATGAATGGTGTGGCTGTTGAACAAGTTGAGGAGACTAAATTACTTGGTGTTACCTTATATTGTAAACTGTCATGGTCAAAACATATAGATTCATTGGTTGTAAAGATGGGGAAAGGTCTGTACGTAATAAAGAGATGCTCTGCTTTTTTGACACCGCACTCCACAAAGCAAGTCCTGCAGGCTCTAGTTTTATCTTGATTATTGTCCAGTCATATGGTCCAGAGCTGCAGAGAAAGACCTAGTTAAGCTGCAGCTGGTCCAGAACAGAGCCACACGTCTTGCTCTTCATTGGAATCAGAGGGCTAATATTAATACTATGCATGCCAGTCTCTCTTGGCTAAGAGTTGAGGAAAGACTGACTGCGTCACTTCTTGTTTTTATAAGAAACATTAACGGGTTGGAAATTCCAAATTGTTTGCATAGTCAATTTACACACAGCACTGACACACACACTTACCCCACCAGACATGCCACCAGGGATGTTTTCACAGTCCCCAGGTCCAGAACAAATTCAAGGAAACGTACAGTATTATACAGAGCCATGAGTGCATGGAACTCCCTTCCATCTTATATAGCGCAAGTGAACAGCAAACCTGGTTTCAAAAACCAAATAAAGCAACACCTCACGGCACAACGCCTCTCCCCCATGTGACCTACTTGTTGTGTGTATGTACTGACATGTATGTCTAACTGATAAATGCTCACTCACACACACTACATGTTCATGTTTTTAAATGTATGTCAATTGTAAAGTATTTTGTCTGTAATGTCTTTTTCATTATGTGTCAGACCCCAGTAAGACTAGCTGTCGCCACTGGCGTCGACTAATGGGGATCCTAATAAATCTAATAAAAAAATATTATTTCTTATTAGCACCTGCTAATTGTAGCTAATAGTAGGTTTCCTCAGCTTGTACTGGTGGCTTTTTACAAGACAAAAAACAAGTCACTACACCTTCTACTCAAAACAATGCTACAACAATGTTTTTCCCCATGCACAGATTAATATACACTGGGCGTTCAAAACATTAAGATCACCGTCCTATTGAGTTGTACCCCTCCCATTTTGTCCTCAGAACAGCATCAATTCCTCAGGGCATGGACTCTACAAGGTGTCGAAAGCGTTCCACAGGGATGCTGGCCCATGTTGACTCCAATGCTTCCCACAGTAGTGTCAAGTTGGCTGGATGTCCTTCGGGTGGTGGACCATTCTTTGATACACACAGGAAACTGTTGAGCGTGAAATACCCATCAGCGTTGCAGTTCTTCACACAAAACAGTGCGCCAGGCACCTACTACCATACCCTGTTCAAAGGTACTTACAGCGCCTTGCAAAAGTATTCATCCCCCTTAGGCGTTTTTCCTATTTTGTTGCATTACAACCTGTAATTTAAATGGCAGAAAACATACTGCACTACTTTCTCTTGTACACTAAAGGACCCGGGGAAGAGGAGAAAATAGGAATGTGCCTATTTAATGTCTAAAACAAAATGTGTAGCTCAAGACATGTTTAATTTTTTAGAAGTAGCTCTTATGCTAGAAAAGGTTGGAGACCCCAGCTCTATGTCATGGAAAGAACAGTTCAGAAAGTATTCATACCCCTTGACTTATTCCACATTTTGTTGTGTTACACCCTGAATTCAAAATGGATATATAGATTTTTTTTCTCTCACCCATCTACACACAACACCCCATAATGACAAAGTCAAAACATGTTCTTAGACATTTTTGCAAATATATTGAAAATGAAATACAGAAATATCTCATTTACGTAAGTATTCACACCCCTGAGTCAATACATGTCAGAATCACCTTTGGCAGCGATTACAGCTGTGAGTCTTTCTGGGTAGGTCTATAAGAGCTTTGCACACCTGGATTGTACAATAATTATTTGCATATTATTCTTTTTTTTAAATTCTTTTAAAAATTCTTCAAGCTCTGTCAAGTTGGTTGTTGATCATTGCTAGACAGCCATTTTCAAGTCTTGACATAGATTTTTTTCAAGAGGATTTAAGTCAACACTGTAACTAGGCCACTCAGGGACAGTCTATGTCATCATTGTTAAGCAACTGCAGTGTATATTTGGCCTTGTGTTTTAAGGTTATTGTCCTGCTGAAAGGTGCATTTGTCTCCCAGTGTCTGTTGGAAAGCAGACTGAACCAGGTTTTCCTCTAGGATTTTGCCTATGCTTAGCTCCATGATTAGCTCCAAACTCCCTTGTCCTTGCCGATGACAAGCATACCCATAACATGATGCAACCACCACCATGCTTGAAAATATGAAGAGTGGTACTCAGTGATGTGTTGTGTTGGATTTGCCCCATACATAACGCTTTGTATTCAGGACATTTCTTAGCCACATTTTTACTTTAGTGCCTTATTGCAAACTGGATGCATGTTTTGGAATATTTTTACTCTGTACAGGCTTCATTCTTTTCACTCTGTCATTTAGGTTAGTATTGTGGAGTAACTACAATGTTGTTGATCCATCCTCAGTTTTCTCCTATCACAGCCATTAAACTCTGTAACTGTTTTAAAGTCAACATTGGCCTCATGGATGCCCGTATCTTTGTAGTGACTGGGTGTACTGATACACCATCCAAAGTGTAATTAATAACTTCACCATGCTCAAAGGGATATTCAATGTCACCTTATTTTTATTTGTTTTAATCTACCAACAGGTGCCCTTCTTTGCGAGGCATTGAAAAAACCTCCCTGGTCTTTGTGATTGATTCTGTTTTTGAAATGTACTGCTCGGCCGAGGGACCTTACAGATAATTGTATGTGTTGGGTACAGCAATGAGGTAGTCATTCAAAAATCATGTTAAACACTATTACTGCACACAGAGTGAGTCCACGCCACTTATGTGACTTGTTAAGCAAATGTTTACTGTGTCACAAAATCTCAATTTCATCCATTTAAAATTCAGACTACAGAATGTGGAAAAAGTCAAAGGGTGTGAATACTTTCTGAAAGCACTGTAGCACCACTTACTGCCACAGTAAATAGGCTATAGCACTAACAATGTAATGGATAACTGTATATTGGTGTCTGCTCCAAATACGGTACGCTCTTCAGCACTTCAGCTGTGTTAGCTAACTAAAGAATGCATATTTTCTGTCACGGGACTGTCATTGACAGCCATCTACAGCTGGCGCGCTGAAAACGCTTTGGAAATCAGAGGACAAACAACAGAGACACCTCTGAAGAGAGAGAATGTGAGGAGCACAGCTCTGGTAGAACAGAAGAATGTCAATAGAGATCCACTACAGATGCAGGTGATGAAAGCTTTAGTCTTAATGCGTCTCAAGGGGCACTGAACACCAGCAAGCCACACTGTCACCGAAGTCATAGGATTTCCTGGTTTTAGGATCCATGCTCTAAAATAAAATAAAATAACTAAATAGTATCTCCATTTTGTGGTATATTTTCTAAATCTCAGCATCAGGCTGAATGAAATAAATTGTAATAATGTAATATATATCTCACGTTAAAGTCTTTAATTTTTAACAGCAGTAACTATTGTCGTTTTCACCTAATATAGTGATTTATTGATAAGGAAAGAAACAATATGATTTTCCTTGAGAATGTGCCCTCCTATCACACACTGGTGAGCACCATGCTAGTTCTGGCTGGTGGGTTAGCCCGTCAGATAGACAGTCAGTCTGGCATCATCTGTTCTATGGCGTTAGTGGTGTCACCTCCACTCACATCCCACCGGAGAAGACTGAGACCGGGGAGGAACTCACCAGGCTGGACCCTAATGCTGGTTCTGCTCAGTCCTCCGCTCGGTAAGAGTGCTGATCTGGGATCAGTTTGGCCTTATAGATCATAATAAATATAATTGATATGGACAGGGGGGGACCTGATCATAAATCAGCACTGCAACGCTGAGGCTCTTTGTGAATACTAACCCTAAACTGTAATGGTGGCTCAGCCCCCTGCCACAGAGGGAATAACCTCCAGGGGATGAGCCTTCAACACTCTGGCCTGTCCTCAGCGGGTGGCGGGAACATGGGGGGGACATGCCTCCAACATGACTACCAGGGAGCAGATGGCAGCGCCAGCCAGAGAGCTGTGTTCATCACCAGTAACACCAGTCCCCTGGCACCCAACAAGACTGGTCTTGTCAGCAGTCAGCTACACACTGGGTGGTGGTGGTGGGGGGGCCAATCTCTCATTCTAACACTGGATGGATGAATATGGAGGGAGTCGGATGGCGGTAAATAAGGGATGGTCTATTTCCATTTCTCACTAAATGGACTATAAAGTATACATGTAGAGAGATAATTATTGAATATGAAAAGGAAACTATAAATTCCAGCATAAACTATTCTTTACATACAAAATTATAATCTATTAGGATTTTACATGCAAGTAATGATAATGTTTTATCCTCCTCATGCAGTCCGTCTTTATCTGAGTGATTGATTGATTGATTATAAACCAAAGACTAAAACAACTAAAAGAATAGGAGCATTCTATGAACTATCCAATATGTTTGGAATAGAATGTTTACAATGCCCTGTTATCCTATCAGTTAACCTCCGGCACGTATCTCCTGACATTCAACACCTCCTAATGAATAAAAACGTGTCAAAGCAAACCTCCAGACCATCAGACCATGGGGAGATGAGATGGGTGAATGAACTATCTGCCCTCCTTCCTGATGATAACAATCCCATAACAATCCCATACACACTGAAATGCACCCCAAAGGCTACACACTGAAATGCACCCCAAAGGTTACACACTGAAATGCACCCAAAGGTTACACACTGAAATGCACTCCAAAGGCTACACACTGAAATGCACTCCAAAGGTTACACACTGAAATGCACTCCAAAGGCTACACACTGAAATGCACTCCAAAGGTTACACACTGAAATGCACTCCAAAGGTTACACACTGAAATGCACTCCAAAGGTTACACACTGAAATGCACTCCAAAGGTTACACACTGAAATGCACCCAAAGGTTACACACTGAATGCACTCCAAAGGTTACACACTGAAATGCACTCCAAAGGTTACACACTGAAATGCACCCAAAAGGTTACACACTGAAATGCACCCAAAAGGTTACACACTGAAATGCACCCAAAAGGTTACACACTGAAATGCACTCCAAAGGTTACACACTGAAATTCACCCAAAGTTACACACGGAAATGCACCCAAAGGTGACACTGAAATGCCCCAACACAGCCATGAAAGAGTTACACACTGAAATCACCCAAAGGCGAAACTGAAATGCACCCCAATAGAAGAGTGCGAAATGTGTAGGACGAAAAAGAAGTGCTCAGAGCGCGGAGCGGAGAGAGAGAGCGAAGAGACGCGAGAGCGAGAGAAGAAGAGAGAGAGAGAAGGAGCAGAGAGAGAGAGCGAGAGAGGAAAAGAGAGAAGCGAGAGAAAGAGAGAGAGCGAGAGCGAGAGAGGAGCGAAGAGAGAGAGAGAGAGAGCGGCGGAGAGAAGAGAGGAGAGAGAGCTCTCTCTTCATACTCACGATCTCATCTTTCTATTACATTCTCTTTCTTCTCTACTATCTAGTCTATCAGAGCGCTCTCGCTACTCTCTCTCGCGCATCTCGCTCTCTCTGCTATCTCGCTCACCTTTCTTGCTTATCTCTAGTCGCTCTAGCTCTCTCATTCTCTATCGACGATGCGGAGCGATCTGACGCGCGAGGACGCGAGTACTGAGACTATATCATGAGGAGATGAGTCATGAGAGAGGAGACTCGAGCAGCGAGAGAGTAGAGAGGAGAGAGCGAGAGAGAAGAGGAGAGAGAGGAGAGCGACGAGAGAGAGAGAGAGAGAGGAGCGAGACGAGAGAGAGAGAGCGGACGAGGAGCGAGAGAGAGAGCCGAGAGAGAAGAGCGCGAGCAGAGAGGGACGAGAGAGCGAGAGAAGGCGAGAAGATGAGAGCGAGAAGAGAGCGAGGAGAGCACAGAGGGAGAGAGGCGCTGCAGATGCTGAGACGGCTGCGGAGGGTGGGCGTCTTTCTATCGATAGTCTAGATCGTTCTAATCCTCTCTTTCTCGAGTAGCCCCCTCTCCTGCTCTTTCCCTCTCCTATCGTTCTTTCTCTCTTCCTCTCCATCTCTTTCTCTTTCTCTCTCCTCTCTTTCTCTCTCCTCTCTTTCTCTCTCCTCTCTTTCTTTCTCTCTCTCTCTCTCTCTCTCTCACTCTCTCAACCTCTCAGGAAGTGGGGGAGTATGAAAGAAAATACATCTCCCATCCATCCCTAACAGTAAGTGACAGTCATGATGGCTAATCCTCTCCTCTCAATCCTCCTGTCTGTAGTTAGCCTTGTCTAAACATTAGTTTTCATGGTTATTGGACACCATCAGTGAGTGGATCTGCTGTGTCTGTAAACAAAGACACTTTATCTGAGCTCCTGATCTGAGCAACAGTGACAACAATCTCTGACTCCCACTGATTACCTGACTGAAGTACACCCTGAAGGTTACCTGGACAGGACCATAAAGAGGAGGAGTGCTGATCTGGGATCAGGTCCCCCCCCCCTTGTCCACATTAATCTTATTCATTATGATCTAAAAGGCAAAACTGATCCTAGATCTGCACTCATACTTAGCTCATTGGTCACCATAGCAACACCCACCCGTAGTATGCGCTCCAGCAGGTATATCTCACTGGTCATCCCCAAAGCCAACACCTCCTTTGGCCGTCATTCCTTCCAGTTCTCTGCTGCCAATGACTGGAACAAACTGCAAAAATCTCTGAAGCTGGAGACTCTTATCTCCCTCACTAACTTTAAGCGTCAGTTGTCAGAGCACCTTACCGATCACTGCACCTGTACACAGCCCATCTGAAATTAGCCCGCCCAACTACCTCATCCCCATATTGTTATTTATTTTGCTCATTTGCACCCCAGTATCTCTATTTGCACATCATCTCTTGCACATCCATCATTCCAGTGTTAATACTAATTGTAATTATTTTGCACTATTTATTGCCTTACCTCCATAACTTGCTACATTTGCACACACTGTATATATATTTTTCTGTTGTATTTTTGACTTTATGTTTTGTTTACCCCATATGTAACTCTGTGTTGTTGTTTTTATCGCACTGCTTTGCTTTATCTTGGCCAGGTCGCAGTTGTAAATGAGAACTTGTTCTCAACTGGCTTACCTGGTTAAATAAAGGTGAAATAAAATAAAAAAAATAAAAAATACTCTGAGACACTGTGAATACGGCCCTGGGCTGGCTGATCAGAGAGTAACATACCTGACAGCACACCTGATGTGGCTAACCACTGCTGTCCACTGAGTCAACGAGATGAGCGTTGAAAGTTATTGATCTGTCTGGTTTAACAAATTGCTTTGTTTTTGAGGACCGCCCAACATCAGTTAGTAAGGATGTTCACCATTTATTGCAAGTATCCACTGCAAATAGCTTGAGTGAGAATATTTAAGGTTTTGGTCACTGAATACTGAGATTATCCAATATTCAATTTCTCTCATGGCTTTATTTGGATGCTAAAGACTTTTATATATCGGGCCCATTTTCAAATAGTTATTGTCTTATCAGAAATGTGCAGCCTTTAAATCTAAAGTTGAACACAAAGCAAATTTGAATTAAATAATATTGTTATTATTTGTTGATTGTTGATTATAGCTGTTATTATTTGTTATAATACTATAATATTATTATAAACTAATAATATTACAATATTCCTGTCTTTTGTTACTTTTAATCCAAATAACGTTCATATTAAATTATCCAATTAAATATTAGTTAATTATATCTAAATATTTGAGAGAAAAAAATCCTTATAATCAGTGATGTAAAGTATTTAAGTAAAAATACTTTAAAGTACTTTTTACTCCATACATTTTCCCTGACACCAAAAGTACTCGTCACATTTTGAACGCTTAGCAGGACAGGAAAATGGTCAAATTCAGGCACTTATCATGAGAACATCCCTGATCATCCCTACTGCCTCTGATCTGGCGGACTCACTAAACACAAATGCTTCGTTTGTAAATTATGTCTGAGTTTTGGAGTGTGCCCCTAGGAATCCGTAAATTAAAAAAACAAAAAACAAAAAAAATTCGTGCCGTCTGGTTTGCTTAATATAAGGAATGTGAAATGATTTATACTTGTACTTTTGATACTTAAGTATATTTTAGCAATTACATTTACTTTTTATACTTAGATATATTTAAAAACAAATACGTTTTGACTTTTATTCAAGTCGTATTTTACTGGGTGACTTTCACTTTAACTTGAGTCATTTTCTGTTAAGGTATCTTTCCTTTTACTCAAGTATGACAATTTAGGTACTTTTCCCACCACTGCTTACAATTAAACTTTCTGAATGGTGCAAAACCTAAATCGAATGGGTAGGCAAATGGGAAATAAATCTTGATTATAGGCCTATTTGTTAGATAAATATTGTTCTTATTTTATATTATTTTATTTGAACAATTGCATACAGCTTACACATTTAAATTAATTTACCCTAGTGTTATTATTATTATTCAACGTATTAGACATTTGATCTCCTATCAACTTTTTGGGAACATACATTATAAGAAAGTGCAATGGCTTCGATGTGCATTTTAAATGAATAAAAATAAACAATATAGTCTATTTATTTTAATGCGTCCAATCTCTGAAAATTTACCAATAATGCATAGACCTAACTTAAGAAAGAAATTAACTATAGTTGGATGTTTAAACGTTTTCCTCTGCAAACAGATTTCAGTAGTTTTAATAATTTGCATTGATCCTGTTTTTGTTGCTTTATTTACTACCCTTTTAGACATTATTTGTTTCCTTAATAAAATACCATACCTAGCATGTTCAGGGATCATAAGGACATTTCTTCCATCAGTGAACTATAGAGTTCTAATGCGTACGGTCATTGTAATATGTCCCCATACGTGTCTTTTTCAACCATGCAATAACAAGGATATGCCCAAATATATGATATTATTGAAAATAACTTTGGAATATTCATTAAATTAAAGTAGTTGTTCGCTTACCTTGGAACCTGTGTCCGAGATATCTGTTTCGAAGAACCCACGGGTAGAAATTCAACGTGTCTCTCTGATGCGGGTTGAAGAAAGGCTGCGATGGAAGCTGGAGAGGATGCAGGGGCATACCGGAGTTCCCTGTGTGTGTACCCGGGTCAGGGAACATCATGTCTGGACTGCTGTATAAAGTCCTGCCGGAGTTCTGGAAACAACTCCCAAAGGGCGCCGGGTGAATTGATTCCGTGAACCTCAGCGCTGTGGGTCTGATCGGTTCGTCCCCGGTAGTCGAAGAGTTCAAGTCTTTCCCAACCAGGGATTCGATGGTAAAACATTTCTTACTATGTTGGTACATGATCACAAATAGGCTATAGTTTATATATTTCTAGTAATATATTCAATAACACTGTTATAAAACAGGTGATGCAAAAGAGAAAAACTCACAACACTACTAGTAGAACAGTTCCCGGGAAATCCATAACTCGCAGTCCCTTGCGCGTGCCAACCTTCTTGCCAATACCGGTGGACCTCTGGAAGCGGGTTGCCTGAAGATGCCAGTTCAGTTGTCTCCGACACTTGTCTTCAATAGGTTATCGACCGGTTTTCTCTGCTGTAACAATAATGCCAAAAATCTAGTTTCGGTTCTAGCTACCACTGCAGCGTCAGATCTATTAGTCTGTGATTCCTTTAGGTTTATTGACAGCCTGGCTCTTGTCTCAGTCTCATCACACCTGGAAACCACTTTTGGACTGTGCTGTATTAGGAGCGAGGATCAGTAGGCTAAGCCTTTGAGAAAGAATCTGTCACTCGTCAGACTCAATACCTGCTCTCAAACCTCGGTGACAGAGGTGTGGTGGGCATGCGCAGATAGGACCGTGTAGCCTAGCGCATGACAGCCATTTTGTTAGTCTAAATGAGTGGTTTATGCTCTATTGAATTGACTTGTGACTAATAATAGCCTATCCATATGCGTTTATTTCAATGTTGCAAAGTGATATCATATTAAATCAGAAGCACCATAATATGAAGGATTTTCTTGTTAATGATTTACTAATTATAACTTACTTATACCAAGTTTATTATGCCCTATGTCCAGTCCCCAAATGGTCCCTAAAATCTAGGAAATTGGCCTCCTAATAGAAAACCATAAAAAAGGTTATCACACAAATGAATGATTCTGCTCTTTCCTATCTTATAGCCCATAGCTGACAGTGGTACCTGTAGGTTGATTGATCAATTGAATTCTAGGTCAAAGATCAGACTAGTCCTAACCTTTAAAGCCACCTCTAATAATTTGAACATGTTAATTCTAGGGAGTAACTACAAAATATCTCTGAGGTTGACTAGGATTTTTTATTTTTTTATCAAGGCATCCAAAACCACTGTGGACTGAAAATCCTTCACATAGGTCTACAAAATGAAAGTCCTTTACAGAATAGGCCTATAGGTCTGCTTAATGAAAGTCCTTTACAGAATAGGCCTATAGGTCTGCTAAATGAAAGTCCTTTACAGAATAGGCCAATAGGTCTGCTAAATGAAAGTCCTTTACAGAATAGGCCTATAGGTCTGCTAAATGAAAGTCCTTTACAGAATAGGCCTATAGGTCTGCTAAATGAAATACTTTACAGAATAGGCCTATAGGTCTGCTAAATGAAATACTTTACAGAATAGGCATATAGGTCTGCTAAATGAAACTCCTTTTGAGAATAGGTCAGCTAAAGAGGTATTTTTTGACTAAAGTCAAATGTCTGGGAAATAAACTCAGCAAAAAAAGAAACGTCCTCTCACTGTCAATTGTGTTTATTTTCACCAAACTTAACACGTGTAAATATTTGTATGAACATAACAAGATTCAACAACTGAGACATAAACTGAACAAGTTCCACAGACATGTGACTAACAGAAATGTAATAATGTGTCCCTGAACAAAGGGGGGGGTCAAAATCAAAAGTAACAGTCAGTATCTGGTGTGGCCACCAGCTGCATTAAGTACTGCAGTGCATCTCCTCCTCATGGACTGCACCACATTTGCCAGTTCTTGCTGTGAGATGTTACCCCACTCTTCCACCAAGGCACCTGCAAGTTCCCAGACATTTCTGGGGGGAATGGCCCTAGCCCTCAACCTCCGATCCAACAGGTACCAGACGTGCTCAATGGGATTGAGATCCGGGCTCTTTGCTGGCCATGGCATAACACTGACATTCCTGTCTTGCAGGAAATCACGCACAGAACGAGCAGTATGGCTGGTGACATTGTCATGCTGGAGGGTCATGTCAGGATGAGCCTGCAGGAAGGGTACCACATGAGGGAGGAGGATGTCTTCCCTGTAACGCACGGCATTGCGATTGCCTGCAATGACAACAAGCTCAGTCCAATGATGCTGTGACACACCGCCCCAGACCATGACGGACCCTCCACCTCCGAATCGATCCCGCTCCAGAGTACTGGCCTTGGTGTAACGCTCATTCCTTCAACGATAAACGTGAATCCGACTATCCCCCCTGGTTAGACAAAACCGCGACTCGTCAGTGAAGAGCACTTTTTGCCAGTCCTGTCTGGTCCAGCAACGGTGGGTTTGTGCCCATAGGCGACGTTGTTGCCGGTGATGTCTGGTGAGGACCTGCCTTACAACAGGCCTCCAAGCCCTCAGTCCAGCCTCTCTCAGCCTATTGCAGACAGTCTGAGCACTGATGGAGGGATTGTGCGTTCCTGGTGTAACTTGGGCAGTTGTTGTTGCCATCCTGTACCTGTCCCCCAGGTGTGATGTTCGGATGTACCGATCCTGTGCAGGTGTTGTTACACATGGTCTGCCACTGCAAGGACGGTCAGTTGTCCGTCCTGTCTCCCTGTAGTGCTGTCTTAGGCGTCTCACAGTACGGACATTGCAATTTATTGCCCTGGCCACATCTGCAGTCCTCATGCCTCCTTGCAGCATGCCTAAGGCACGTTCACACAGACGAGCAGGGACCCTGGGCATCTTTCTTTTGGTGTTTTTCAGAGTCCGTAGAAAGGCCTCTTTAGTGTCCTAAGTTTTCATAACTGTGACCTTAATTGCCTACCGTCTGTAAGCTGTTAGTGTCTTAACGACCGTTCCACAAGGTGCATGTTCATTAATTGTTTTATGGTTCATTGAACAAGCATGGGAAACAGTGTTTAAACCCTTTACAGTGAAGATCTGTGAAGTTATTTGGATTTTTACAAATTATCTTTGAAAGACAGGGTCCTGAAAAAGGGAAGTTATGTCCTCTTTGCGTTATGTCCAGGGTACCGTCCCTCCCTCTTGGGTAGTTACCATCTTAGATGTTGTTGAGGGAGAGGAGTGGGGGGGGGGGGGGGGGGGGGGGTACCAGTAGATCAGAGACCCAGCCAGTACCAGGAACCCAGGACAGATGTCAGTCCTTTCAGGGGAGAAATAATCAGGACGAACCACAAAAGCCCCCCTGCTTCCATCTTTCATGATCTGCTCTGAGGAAGATGATGTGAACCACCAAGGGCCAAAGAGCCCTTTGAGTCCCAAAGGAGTTTAGTCTCCACCCCTCTTGTCCCCTATACCAATCCTATAACCCCCAGTCCCCCTGTATAGAATTAATAGGTTTTACTGGCAGATCTAGCCCCGGAGCCTTTGATTCAGGCGGCCATTAACAACTATTAATTTTGCCTCTGGCAATTAATGACAGATTTTGCTGGTCTGAAAGGAGGTATTAAGCAGCTGGGGTTTTTGTATGCACGCACGGGTGTGAAGCTGAGTTAAAATGTGATTATTGTCCCCCTGCATGGTCTGCCTTGAATCGGCTAACTGGAGTTAAGTCCCTTTTACATGGAATGAGGTTACTCTATTCAGAAAGGAACAGACATAGGATGTGTTATAGTAAATGGCTGCCATTTATTTTATTCTATATAGTAAGCTACAATATAGAGGACATTAAAAACATGAGCAGTGTTACAGAACTCTGTTGAATGGAACATTCATCAACACATCAGGTCATTACAGATTACCTTTTATATAGTTTCAGTACATTGAATGAGGAACGGAAGGAAGAAAACAGTTCCCTTAAAATGTACATTGTCGTTGATGATATCAATTCAGTATTTTAATAATAACTTTATCAATTCAAATAGTAACAGTACAGCCCTAGTTAGGTACATTGTCAAAGGTAAAGTCGAGGGGCATATAAGGTGAATGCACCAATTTGTAAGTCGCTCTGGATAAGAGCGTCTGCTAAATGACGTAAATGTAAAATGTAAATGTAATAATTTTGTCAAATCTTGTGCTGGTCTAATAATTTATTTTCATTTACATTTAATTTGGTGGTAAATGAATGATGTCAAGTGAATTATTGGTTATTTGGGGAGCTCTAATTATGTGGTCAATGCCCTCTAGTGGATGTTGATGGTCTCAGTAAACAGTGCAGGTTGAGCAAAAACCTTTGCTTTTTAAGATAATCGTGTAATTGATGAATGTCCGATATTATAGTTATTCGGTATTAATATATGTGTCATTGAATTTAGGGTTGATTGTTCAGTACAACAGGCAGTTAGCAAAACCTATTGCATTTTAATTTAAATTATTTAGTGTTCAAATTGGAGTTTGGCTAGAATCATGATATATATTTTACAAAAGACAGGGCTTCTATTTTCATTAATCTGTGCACAAAAGTGTTTTTTTCAAGTCAGTCAACATAATAGTTTCTAATGTCGAATATAAACTTGTATTGGTTCATACTTTAATTTTCCTTAATCAGCGCGTATATTTTCTAAACTAATAATGGCGTTTTGAGGCCATTACCATGGCAATTACTTGAAGCTATTGAAGCATCAATTGAACAGTTTGTGTGCCCATAATGATAGTCACTAGGGGTACTATCTGCAGTCTTGTTCATCACCTATTCGCGGCAAGAATAGTCTGTTGTTGGCACTTCTGTAGTGCCTATAAAGTCATTAGGGAGAAGAATGTCAGTGTTGGGTCTGACTTTAAGCTTTTACCTCCACACACCTGGCTTCTAGGAACATAATACCTGGTTAAGTGAGGGCCAGTTTGCCTGGAGGGACTTCTTTACTCATTGAAAACGAATAAACAAGACTGTAGTGGCCCATAATGTATTAGTCACTCAGTTTGGTACTATACCTGCAGTCTTGTGTCAATCACACTATTGTCATCGGAGTACATTAGAATTAGTCGATTTGGACAATATCTTTATGTAGCCTATGGTTATTTGCAGCAAATAGTGTGTTCTTTAATACATCCACACTTGCTGTTTTGGACACTACACTTTCTATATATTATACACCATTTCTCAGCTATAGGCCAAAGTTTTATTATTAAAAAAATACAAGAGAATTGCACATCAAGTAGCTAGAAAATATCAATCAAAACAACAATATAGAGACAGTAATCAGTTGAAAAAATGCCACATTAACAACAGAAAAAACAGCAGTTTAGAAGGCTATGCCTATACCCTGGGTTCAGTTTAGAAGGCTAGGCCTATACCCTGGGTTCAGCTTAGAAGGCTAGGCCTATATCCTGGGTTCAGTTTAGAAGGCTAGGCCTATATCCTGGGTTCAGCTTAGAAGGCTAGGCCTATATCCTGGGTTCAGTTTAGAAGGCTAGGCCTATATCCTGGGTTCGGTATGTGGATAAATGCCACCACATAAACTGAAAAGAAACCCAATAAAAAGTCAGTGTGAAAAGGAAGAGAGAGAGGGGGGGGTTAATCACATAAGGAATGTTGTGAAAGAGGAATATAAAATATATTACAAAAATGATATGGCTAAATCTGAATTGACTCATAGCCTAGTTGATAGCTGATTGATGAGCTAAAGCATCCCATGCCAAGCCACACAGTTGTAAAATATAGGCAAGTCTCTCTCTTGTTTGACAAGAATAAGAATTCAAGAATCATCATGAATGTGTGTGATGGCCTCAAGACATTTACTAATATAATACAAATCAAAAATACACCCATGACTCGTCATTGTCCACGGAAATCAACTCATCCTCCTCCTTGCTCAATGTTTCACTGTGCGTGTGTCCCTCCGGTACACAGGCCATGTCACCGTGGGCCTTCCTCCACCGCGTTCTCCTGTTCTGGAACCAGACATTGACCTGTGTCTCGTTCAGTCTCAGCGATGAGGCCAGAAGCATCTTCTCCGTCCGGGACATGTACCGCTGCTTACTGAACACCTCTCCTAGTTTAGTCAGCTGATTGTCGGTCTAGATGGTGCGGATTCTCCTGCCGGATCTCCGCACGAAGATTCCCCTAGATAGACTGCCCAGTTGTCCTGCAGAGAGAAAACAAACATTCATTTCCAATATATTCTTAATTATACATTAATCACAATGACACCTATTCCATATTCTATTTGTAATTAATAGAGGAGTCAGATCATCAGTTTTACAAGACAATTCAACGCGAGACCTATAATGTGGGCTAACATCCCTTGGGCCATAACGATAAAAGTCGGAAACATTAACGACATAAATTAACCGTGAAATATTACTGTTATACAGAACTTGATTATAACCACTTAGATGCTGGTAGTAAACTGGGTGACGTGAATTTGTGTCTCCCAGATGCGGCCAAGTCAGCATCGCCGGATGCTGCTGTGCGCCACCGCCTGGTTGCTGGATGTGCATGGCTTGTTGTCCGGCTGCTTCCCGGGAAGGACCCACGGAATGGATAACTTCATTACTGAAGGAGCACGCTTTTTTTGTCTGTGTCCTTGATATAATCGTGTTTGGCAACCATGAGGAGAGGTCCGTTGCTCACTATAAAAAGAAGATGTCCCGTTGAGGGAACTCGCGTTCAGGCTTCCTCTCGTCATGGTGCGCCGTTGAGTATGGCTCAATGTGGCTCCTTCTCCAGGCGGGAGGCGAGGGCTTTATACCCCGCCTCAACAGATAGATCAGAGGGCCTGAGAGGTGTTGTCCCATCGAGTCAGAAACTACTTTGAGGAGATTAGTGTAAACCTGTCCTGATGGCGCCGTATTCAGGTCGAGAGCCGATGGATCAATTATGACCTAACAAAGACTTCAGACAGGGGCTTTGCATGCGGGGCTGAAGTGACAAATCACCACAATCAAAGGTAATAATTATTCAGTAGACAGGCCTAAAGGTTTTCATTGTGATATTCAAATGATTAACGATCTAATTGAAAACGAATTCCATTGGGGTTCGGCAAACGCCCGCCCCCAAAATTAGGCAAAGTTGCCATCGCGTGAGACTCAGTTTGTGCTTATGAAATAAATGTGTTATAGTCTATTCTATAATTATCAGGCTATAAAAGGCACACAACCATGATCGTATATGGACAGGGTATTACATATGGTAGCTTGCTCCCTATGGTATTTAAATGCAATGACACTTTTCATTGCCATGAAGCAGAAATAAGCCTAACTGCTGCAGTCTTGAGCAGACTTTAAATGCATAACGAGTTATGAATGATTTTATAAACTTACAATACCATATGCTACATTTCAGAATTTCAGACACAGGCTATTGTAGACATCTTGGTAGATTCAAAATGGTGCTTGTCTATAACCAGTGAGACAATGCAGGGTTGACTGCATTTGTGTGTAGAAGCCCTCATTAATGTCTGTTTACAGGATCAGTAAGATTAAAGTCACACCTGGTATGACAGGCTAGTGGTCGCTTTAAGCACCTGAAATCTAAACCTGATGACCTCACAAGAGGCTACACACCTTCATTTACACTCTCAAGCAAAGTGTCATTTACATTTTAGTCATTTAGCAGACGCTCTTATCCAGAGCGACTTACATGAGCAATTAGGGTTAAGTGCCTTGCTTAAGGGTACATCGACAGATTTTTCACCTAGTCGGCTCGGGGATTAGAACCAGCGACCTTTCGGTTACTGGCACAACGCTCTTACCCACTAAGCTACCTGCCGCCCTGTCATCAGTTAAATAATAATAATAATAATAATTATTATTATTATTATTATTATTATTATTATATCAGTTAACTAGCCCTATATGCATTTCCTGAGAAGGTTTAAACTGAAACAAGTACTGTAGCATTTTCAATTATAGTTAGGGATGTCAACATAACGAAGCTTAAGTACAATGGTCTTCTGTCAGACAGAACTCAAATGGATCAAATAGATCATGTTAAGTACTGAAAATACAATACAGATGTGTTAATCATATTATGTACAATGAAGACCGTTATAACGAGAATACGAATGCATGTTTTTCCTGGGGTTTTGAATCATAACTTTATATAAATACTGAATATTGTACAAATACATTTTTCGGTACCGTTGACTTGTCTCGTCATTCAAAAAGACATTACAGCAGTATGGTATATGGCCACACTGTTGTAACATATGCTTCAGCATTACCTAAACATACTTTCATAACGTCTAGTCGGTCTCTGAAAACCTTCTAAAGCAAAACTGTAAACCTTTAAAAGCTGATTTACCATCAACAACAAACCCAAAATGGCACTCTGATACTCAACTCACTACCAGTTGATCACATGATGGGTCACAATGGATACCGGATGAGAATACAGCGCTATGGATCATGGAAGTGGCATGCCAATCCAATGTCAGAAAGAAAACCCTTTCATATGTAAACTAACTCTGATGATAATACATTAAACCAGACAGTATAGCAGACTTCAACTGAAGGACAGAGAACGGATTTCTGAAAAGTGCAAATGGTCCATTGGGATCACACTCAGCAGCAGACCACCCTGCATCCCACTGCTGGCTGGCCTTTGAAGCTAAGCAGGGTTGGTCCTGGTCGGTCCCTGGATAAACAGATACAAAGGCCATTGCTTATTATTTCAGTACACCCTTCCTTTCATGTATAGTCAATATTGGCAAAGTGTCTCTCGTTGAAAGCCCCCTGAAGTTAGGCCTGCATGAGATCCAGTCACTCACAGTTCTGAATGCAAGTCAGACAGCTACGCTGCAGTTCAAAAGGATAACATAATATAGCTAGTTTATAAATACATTCCATCTCTCCAATGAGGGAAGCTGTTGCTGGGTTCAAACGTCAAAAGGCCAAAACCTCTCCTCTGGGCCGGCCAGAAGATGGTACCCATGTCTTCTGGTGCGGTTGTTTGTTTCAGCCATGTCCTCAGGATCAGAAACGGTCTCAGCTAGCACAGCAAGCAGGGTGAACACCCCCCTCTGTAGTACCAGGGTCATATTAATTAGGGCACACAAAAACAAGTGTTTCTCATTGGAGAAGTTCAGGTAGTCCCTTCCTGTTTTAGTCTTGTTTTCTTCTGTTTTGGTGGATAATGAACATAACCCAGATGAGAGGCAGCATGGGTCTATCATGGGGGGCCATCTTAGTTCAGCAGACACCAGGGAGTCTTGTCCGTGTCACACTCCAGTTTGGTGTTGAGGACAGTGACAGGGGCTCCACTAATAGTCAGCTCGTGTCTCGACTCCACCTTGTACTGCAAGTTAGTCAACCCGCCCTCAGGGTCAACCTTGAATTGTTCCTTCCAAAAACAAGGAGAGAATAGAATAATGTCAGTACTGTGATTAGAAATAAAACCAAAATAAATATATCCAGTATTAGTCTATCTCTGAATGCAACATATACAGTGGCTTGCGAAAGTATTCACCCCCCCTTGGCATTTTTCCTATTTTGTTGCCTTACAACCTGGAATTAAAATGGATTTTTTGGGGGGGGGTTTGTCTCATTTGATTTACACAACATGCCTACCACTTTAAGTCATACCACAGATTCTCAATTGGATTGAGGTCTGTGCTTTGACTAGGCCATTCCAAGACATTTAAATGTTTCCCCTTAAACCACTCAAGTGTTTATTTAGCAGTATGCTTAGGGTCATTGTCCTGCTGGAAGGTGAACCTCCGTCCCAGTCTCAAATCTCTGGAAGACTTAAACAGGTTTCCCTCAAGAATTTCCCTGTATTTAGCGCCATCCATCATTCCTTCAATTTTGACCAGTTTCCCAGTCCCTGCCAATGAAAAACACCCCCACAGCATGATGCTGCCACCATGATGCTGGTGTTCTCGGGGTGATGAGAGATGTTGGGTTTGTGCCACACATAGCGTTTTCCTTGATGGCCAAAAAGCTAAATTTTAGTCTCATCTGACCAGAGTACATTCTTCCATATGTTTGGGGAGTCTCTCACATGCCTTTTGGCGAACACCAAATGTGTTTGCTTATTTTTTTCTTTAAGCAATGGCTTTGTTCTGGCCACTCTTCCGTAAAGCCCAGCTCTGTGGAGTGTACGGCTTAAAGTGGTCCTATGGACAGATACTCCAATCTCCGCTGTGGAGCTTTGCAGCTCCTTCAGGGTTATCTTTGGTCTCTTTGTTGCCTCTGATTAATGCCCTCCTTGCCTGGTCCGGGAGTTTGTTGTGGTGCCATATTCTTTCAATTTTTTAATAATGGATTTAAATGGTACTCCGTGGGATGTTCAAAGGTTCAGATATGTTTTAATAACCCAACCCGGATCTGTACTTCTCCACAACTTTGTCCCTGACCTGTTTGGAGAGCTCCTTGGTCTTTATGGTGCTGCTTGCTTGGTGGTGCCCCTTGCTTAGTGGTGTTGCAGACTCTGGGGCCTTTCAGAACAGGTGTATACAGTTGAAGTCGGAAGTTTACATACACTTAGGTTGGAGTCATTAAAACTCGTTTTTCAACCACTCCACACATTTCTTGTTAACAAACTATAGTTTTGGCAAGTTGGTTAGGACATCTACTTTGTGCATGACACAAGTAATTTTTCCAACAATTGTTTCCAGACAGATTATTTCACTTATAATTCGCTGTATCACAATTCCAGTGGGTCAGAAGTTTACATACAGTAAGTTGACTATGCCTTTAAACAGCTTGGAAAATTCCAGAAAATTATGTCATGGCTTTAGAAGCTTCTGATAGGCTAATTGACATCATTTGAGTCAATTGGAGGTGTACCTATGGATGTATTTCAAGGCCTACCTTCAAACTCAGTGCCTCTTTGCTTGACATCATGGGAAAATCAAAAGAAATCAGACAAGACCTCAGAAAAAAAAGTATGGTTCATCCTTGGGAGCAATTTCCAAACGCCTGAAGGTACCACGTTCATCTGTACAAACAATAGTACGCAATTATAAACACCATGGGACCACGCAGCCGTCATACCGCTCAGGAAGGAGACGCGTTCTGTCTCCTAGAGATGAACGTACTTTGGTGCGAAAAGTGTAAATCAATCCCAGAACAACAGCAAAGGACCTTGTGAAGATGCTGGAGGAAACAGGTACAAAAGTATCTATATCCATAGTAAAACAAGTCCTATATCCACATAACCTGAAAGGCCGCTCAGCAAGGAAGATGCCACTGCTCCAAATCCGCCATTAAAAAGCCAGACTACGGTTTGCAACTGCACATGGGGACAAAGATCTTACTTTTTGGAGAAATGTCCTCTGGTCTGATTAAACAAAAATAGAACTGTTTGGCCATAATGACCATCGTTATGTTTGGAGGAAAAAGGGGAGTGCTTGCAAGCCGAAGAACACCATCCCAACCGTGAAGCACGGGGGTGGCAGCATCATGCTGTGGGGGTGCTTTGCTGCAGGAGGGACTGGTGCACTTCACAAAATAGATGGCATCATGAGGAAGGAAAATTATGTGGATATATTGAAGCAATATCTCAAGACATCAGTCAGGAAGTTAAAGCTTGGTCGCAAATGGGTCTTCCAAATGGACAATGACCCCAAGCATATTTCCAAAGTTGTGGCAAAATGGCTTAAGGACAACAAAGTCAAGGTATTGGAGTGGCCATCACAAAGCCCTGACTTCAATCCTATAGAACATTTGTGGGCAGAACTGAAAAAGCGTGTGCGAGCAAGGAGGCCTACAAACCTGACTCAGTTACACCAGCTCTGTCAGGAAGAATGGGCCAAAATTCACCCAACTTATTGTGGGAAGCTTGTGGAAGGCCACCCGAAACGTTTGACACAAGTTAAACAATTTAAAGGCAATGCTACCAAATACTAATTGAGTATTTGTAAACTTCTGACCCACTGGGAATGTGATGAAAGAAATAAAAGCTGAAATAAATCATTCTCTCTACTATTATTCTGACATTTCACATTCTTAAAATAAAGTGGTGATCCTAACTGACCTAAGACAGGGAATTTTGACTACGATTAAATGTCAGGAATTGTGAAAAACTGAGTTTAAATGTATTTGGCTAAGGTGTATGTAAACTTCCGATTTCAACTGTATATACTGAGATCATGTGACAGATCATGTGACACTTAGATTGCACACAGGTGGACTTTATTTAACTTATTATGTGACTTCTGAAGGTAATTGGTTGCACCAGATCTTATTTAGGGGCTTCATAGCAAAGGGGGTGAATACATATGCACGCACCACTTTTCCGTTATTTAATTTTTTGAATTTTTTGAAACAAGTTATTTTTTTCATTTCACTTCACCAATTTGGACTATTTTGTGAATGTCCATTACATGAAATCCAAATAAAAATCAATTTAAATTACAGGTTGTAATGCAACAAAATAGGAAAAACGCCCAAGGGGGATGAATACTTATGCAAGGCACTGTAACAATATAACATGGTAGTAGTTTCCAGTGAATGCATCTCTACCTGTTTCTGTGCAGCCATTCTCTTCTGGTCTCTCTTCCTCCAGGCAGGGTCATGGATGTGGCGAAAGGTTTCATACCCTGTTTTTATCCCCCTGGGTCTGAAGAGCTGGCAAACAGAAAATGAGAGATTGATGATATTATTCATAGTACTTAAGAGACGTGGCGGCAGCTCTTTTGCTGGTCTACATGCAAACGTACTATGAGTTTTTCTACAATGTAGGGAAGATGTGTCAGATACTGAGGGTTATCATTAATTGGCTTGTCATTCTTTTGGAGTAACTTCAGGGATTAACCAAACTTCCTAGAGCTATCTCTGTCGCTTTGTGACACGCAAGGACAGTCCAGGTTTACCTGTAATCCAGCAGTTCTTAGTCTCCTGTAGAATTCATCGTCCTCTCTCCCCCATCCCCAGAACCGGTTTGACATGCCGTTGCACTTCCGGAACACAGAACATGACAGTTAAAACAGCACTTCCGGAACACAGAACATGACACAGTTAACAGCACACCACCACCACGAACAATCGTGCAATTTCGATCCTGATGCCTAGTCACTTTACCCTGCCTTCAAGTACATATCTACCTCAAATACCTCGTACCTCTGCACATTGATCTGGTACTGGTGCTCCCTGTATATAGCTCCACATTGATCTGTTTCTGGTACTCTCTGTATATAGCTCTATTCTTGTGTATTTTATTTTCCAATGGAAATTCTCGTTTTAGTTGCAAAACGTTTTGCAACAGTTTGGACTAATGATTACACCCCTGCTAGAGAGCTAGCTAGTTATTAGCCAGCGTCAAGCCAAGGCTTTGCCAATGTAATAAGAACATTGGCACTGCATTTCACGTTCAGTAACCAAAGGCGTAATGTGACATTTCGAGGAAGAATATGACAAGAATATCAGTTGGACATCAAAATCGGACTGCAAAGGAGAGAGCCGGGAAGAATGGAGAAGTTCTATTGTAGAGTCACGACAACGAGATTCTCTGTTTCTTGAGTAACTACTGTCAAAATCTGAGGAATAGCAATACTGTGTTTTTCTGTGCAATCTTGAAGCTGTTGTCCTTTGCAACTTTGAAAATGATGTATTCATCAAGAAGAAAACCAGTCCTCTATTTCAAAGAAGACAGACGGTAAAACATAACGGTAGTCGGTAGCCCTGATGTTCACGATGAGAGATTATCCTATCCTAGATTGATTAGTCTAGAGGAGGGAACAGATTTATGCATTTCAAGACATTAGCAAACTAGTAAAATGTTTCATTTTTTATCTACTAGCGAGGCCTATGTGAATTATAACAATACACTACTACTGTAGATACACTAAAGCCTCTATCTCTGGCTATGACATTGGGACGCTAGCCTATTTCTCTAAAACGTTTAAGAATGCAGCTGGTGTAAATGGTTTGCAGTCAGGTGTTTAATTATATCTCACATAATTTCTTAGTATTGTACAACCTCAGAAATGAGACACCAAAAGAGTAATCAGTCATTAGTTGACTACATAAATTGTGCTCTCAAATGTTGTTGTTGAGAAATTTTGGTGCATTGATTTTTAGTCGTTTGCTGTAAAATTGCATGATGTATTTAAATCCCATCTTTAAACTAGACGTACTATTGAACAGTGTATGGGTTCGTTAACGTTTAGTGTACAAACTATGCCTAACTGAGTTATGAAACATGTAACATTGCTAATGTTTCAAGCATTGTGATGGTCTACGGCCACTAAACCTCCACTTTAACAGCATGCACGTATCAATTTGTGGTAGTTGCAAGACAACATTGATGACTTCACTACATTGCCTATGAGACTTGCTATAGTACTTTACCCTGCCTTCAAGTACATATCTACCTCAAATACCTCGTACCTCGCACATTGATCTGGTACTGGTGCTCCCTGTATATAGCTCCACATTGATCTGTTTCTGGTACTCTCTGTATATAGCTCTATTCTTGTGTATTTTATTTTGATTCCTCTTGTGTTACTATTTTTAAACTCTGCATCATTGGGAAGGGCTCTTAAGCAAGCATTTCACGGTAAAGTCTACACCAGTTGTATATTCGCCGCATGTGACAATTAATTTGATTTGAATATGTGCATGGTTTGAAGTGCTGTCTATTATTATGGATAATGAATGATTAACTTAACAATAGGCTAACCTACCATGTGATAATGCTGTTTGGTGAGCAGCAGGATTCCTCCCACGTATGTCTTGTAGTGATAGAGGGGGTGTAGTTCTGGTGAGGCCACGTGGAAAGGGCCCTCCTCTGGGAATCCATAGTCCAGCGCTTCATTCAGAGGTAACAAGTCCACATCGTGCATGGCGATGTAATCAGTGTCGTTACCACTCTCCATGTAACCAACGTTAATGAGAGAGGCTCTGTTGAACCTGTGGTGAGATATGGCTGGAACTAATAATTTACTTCCAGTAGGAATCAATATTTCTTTGGTGAGGCGCAAATCAACTAGGCACACATCCAGACTATAGTTCCCCTGTGCCAATCAGAATTCATCAACAACCACTGGACTGAAATAGAACAGAATAGAACAGAACAGAATAGAACAGAACAGAATATGTTGTGGCCTTCGGATTAGACAGTGACAGCGCTTCTGTTGTAGGCCTAATGACTAACAAGGCAACATAACGTCTTCCATCACTTACCGATAGTGATCCATCTGGTTGATTACGAAGATCTTATGCAGTATTTTCTTGTTGTTCAAGAAGGTGTGCATGAAGGGGACAAACACCAGCAGCTCCTCAAACCTCTCCCGGAAAGGTATCAGGAGGGCCAGCTTGTGAAGACCCCAGGAAGGGTTGTCCGCAGCGGATGCCCGTCTCTCCAGCGGACAGGGCTGATGGAGGAGGCGTCCGTCATCCACTACAACCCGGCTCATGTCTCCTGTACAGCTGAGTTGGAGCCATAGGAGGGAGACCAGTACCAGCGCCATACACAGACCAAAGAGTTTGTAAACTGTGCATTTCCCAGACCAGAATCTGAAAGTACAAGTAATAGCAAGTCTCATATTGAGCAATGTAGTGAAGTCAATCAATGTTGTCTTGCACACCTTAACCCACAAATTGATCACGTGCCATGCATGTTAAAAGTGAGAGGTTTAGTGGCCGTAAGACACATCACAATGCCATTGGAAAACATTAGCTAATAGTTTACATGTTTCAATAACTCAGTTAGGCATTAGTATTGTACACTAAACGCTTGCACAACGAAACCCATACACACTGTATGCAATAGCTACGTCTAGATTATAAAGAATGGCTGATTTAAAATACTATCATGCAATTTTACCAGCAAACGAACTAAAATCAATGCACCAACATTATTTCACACAACAACATTTGAGAGCAACACACTTCTATTGTAGTCAACTAATGACTGATTACTCTTTTGGTGTCTCATTTCTGAGGTTGTACAATACTAAGAAATTATGTGAGATATAATTAAACACCTGACTGCAAACCATTTACACCAGCTGCATTCTTAAACGTTTTAGAGAAATAGGCTAGCGTCCCAATGTCATAGCCAGAGATAGAGGCTTTAGTGTATCTACAGTAGTAGTGTATTGTTATAATTCACATAGGCCTCGCTAGTAGATAAAAAATGAAACATTTTACTAGTTTGCTAATGTCTTGAAATGCATAAATCTGTTCCCTCCTCTAGACTAATCAATCTAGGATAGGATAATCTCTCATCGTGAACATCAGGGCTACCGACTACCGTTATGTTTTACCGTCTGTCTTCTTTGAAATAGAGGACTGGTTTTCTTCTTGATGAATACATCATTTTCAAAGTTGCAAAGGACAACAGCTTCAAGATTGCACAGAAAAACACAGTATTGCTATTCCTCAGATTTTGACAGTAGTTACTCAAGAAACAGAGAATCTCGTTGTCGTGACTCTACAATAGAACTTCTCCATTCTTCCCGGCTCTCTCCTTTGCAGTCCGATTTTGATGTCCAACTGATATTCTTGTCATATTCTTCCTCGAAATGTCACATTACGCCTTTGGTTACTGAACGTGAAATGCAGTGCCAATGTTCTTATTACATTGGCAAAGCCTTGGCTTGACGCTGGCTAATAACTAGCTAGCTCTCTAGCAGGGGTGTAATCATTAGTCCAAACTGTTGCAAAACGTTTTGCAACTAAAACGAGAATTTCCATTGGACACATTCGGGTAGGTCCCGCCCCGTTTCCTTCCGTTTAAGAAACGTTTTGAAACAGAATCGGCGTAATGAAGACGCCCCGGGTGGACACGTAGCAACATATAGGAGCAAGGGAAATGTTGTTCATACCCGCCTTGTCCTACCGCACACTGAGACCCGTGGATTTCGTGAAACAAAAAAAGTCTAGCAACATAAACTATACATTGACATAATTCGTTAGTTCTCTAAAGATCTTCTACTCAAGAAAATATCACCTACGACATTTCTGGGAGAAACACATTATCAAGACTAAACGTTCCTATGCAGTTGGGGAACTATAGAAGGCATTCCATATGGATGGACCCAAGTCTGATCTATTTTTGTTTGGCAAAGTGTCGTTGGAAAATAGTAATTCAAGCTGGCTAGCCAAAGGTCATAAAACTTTATTTTTTAGTGCGATTTAGACAAGTTTTCACATTTACAGAATCTAAAATTAAAATCCCCCCACCCAAAACAAACCATCACCAACTAATTAAAATCATACTCAATCTTTGACATCTAACCATTAACAAATGAAAAAACAAACCAATGACGAACTAACTCATTAAAGAATTGTTTTGGTAACATTAAGGAGAAACAGATTATCTGAACAAAAATATATTTTAGCAAAAATGATACAGTATAGTTCAAATTGTTTTATGATTGACAAGAAGCAAGGACTGCTTTCTGGCTAAGTACTTTTCAAGTGTACAATGGATGTTTACCCACGAACCAACTCCTTGTACATGATGAGAACTGGAGCAAACTGTAAACCTGGACAGCAGTTATTTATTGAATTAAATCAGTGTCTTCATAACTCTACCTGAGTATTTGCAGAAAGGAAATGGATAAAACAGAAGCCAAAAACACCACCTCTCCAGGTTCACTTAGATATGCAGTATAGATGAAAAAAACAAGCAAATCTCTTTCAAAATCAATATTCACTTGACCACCATCAAGCCAATGGATTGTGATAAGGGAACATCTTTGGCACTGTATTCAGCAAGTTAGGGAGAAACTGTGTGAACTGCTTTCTTACTTCAGCAAATGCATAGCTAGTATTTCACACAACTTTTGTTTTCCATAAAACGACCATATTAAAACATCAGACACTCTAGCGCCACCCTTTAACCAAAATGTCATGTTTCTTGTCTCACTTACCAGCTTTATAAACTGACCATTAAATAAAAACACAGACAGAGCCCGTATTCAGAAAGCGTCTCAGAGTAGAAGTGCTGAGCTAGGATCCGTTTAGCCTTTTAAAATCAAAATGAATAACAAGTGGTAACAGATACTAGATCAGCAGGCCTACTCCGAGGTGCTTTGGGAATACAGATACTGGTTAACAAGACAGGAGAAGGTACCCAATTTTCAAGATCTTCATTTAAAATTCTGCATATTCTGGATGTCTTTCTGTTTCTAAACACACAGACCACGACGACACAAAATACATCAGGGGTTGAAACGTACATTAATTTGAAGCAAAATTAAAAAAAAACGTAAAGACCAGTACGCACACATGACCAAAAATAAGTTTCATAAATCAAGTCACCATTTCTGTTGTATGGCTCTAAACCAAAATAGGTGATCTCTCTCGGGCAGTAACAACAACCCCATCACAATGTAAGTACAGTGAGAAACATAGTCTCTAATCAGGTTGAGAGAAGAGATGCCACCTGGAAAATGACTGACAGTCACAACAGTGCTACATATTGTGGGTTGTCAAAGGGGGTGGGGTATGATGTGAAAAAAATACAGGTGGTTTTAACCTTCGAAGAACAATGTTTGATATCATCAGTCCAATGTTTGATATCATCAATAGTATAAAATAAAAAAATTCCCAGCCAAAAGTAAAACATATAGCATACTGTAGAGGATCATAAATAAAACTAATTGCAGACTTATATCTTACAGAAACAGGGATGGAGAATATCAAAGTCACAAAAGGGTCTTAAAAATCCAAAAGCAGTGCCCTCTCAAAATAAAAATAATTGGGTGGTTTTCACTGATAGGATGGTAACCTCACCAGTCTGCACACATACCTCTGGGAGCAAACACGCATTCGGACTGACGTTTGAGTACTGCATTCAGACCAGGGTTGGGATCAATTCACTTATCAATTTAGGAAGTGAATTCAAACTGAATTGATGAATGAAAAAAGCATCATAGAAAACAATGGGGGAATTTTCTATTCAATAATAGAGTTAAAGTTCACTTCCTGAATTGACTGACTTGAAACCGAAATGATCCCCAACCCGGACTCAGATAAACAACAAAATGAGAGTGCAGGTCTACACTAATTTCTTGGCCTCAAAGAAACTCTTGAGGTGTCTCATCTGCCAGAAGCCAATGGCCACCAGGATCAATGTCTGAACGATGGACCACCACAGAACCCTCTGGTTGGTGCTCTCACTGGTCTGCCTGAAGCGCTCCTCACGGTACTGAAAGAGACAGAGCAAAGCTTTTATAAAATACAAATAGTAGCACACAAGCCAAGGCCATTCATTTCTGAATTCCAACTTGACCCCTACTCACTAGTAGATCTGACAGGATTGGATAGGTGGAAGAAATATATGACGATATTTCCACCCAGCCATTCAGAAGACTATATTAAGCTGTTACTCTAATGTTTATATCTATCCAATCCCCTCAGATCTACAGGAGTGGCTAGAGTGTGGGAACTAGAGGTCGATTTGGAATTCAGCAAATGTCTTAAATCAAACTTTGCCTTGAACAGACTTTATGATATTTTAAGGAGAAAACATTGCACCAAATGGAAGTCTGTTGTTCGTCTAGCGTTCATTCCGCTCTGTGTGTTTAAGGGACCACCCCACCCTGCCAGTAGACGTCTGACTGACATTATTTTAGCCTTTTTCTACATGTAGAATCGGTTTGAAAAATTACAGCCGGCACTCTGTTCAGAGGTGCCAAGTACTCATGGCCAGCAAACACTACCGGTGTGTCCAGGGCTTTACTCAGGAGCCATGGAACATTTTCTTCTGCAACGTGACCCAAATGAACTACCTTCCAGTGCATGCATTATAACATTGGCTGAAATAGTACTCACACACACAACTACTTCATGTTTCTAAATTATTTATTTATTTCAGACGAAGGGTACTGCTATGGGATCCCCTATGGCTAACTATGCTAATTTGTATTTGGGTTACATGGAGAAAGTCAATTTTCAATCCTCTCAAAAATGTTTTCTTGCCTAACATTATTATTTGGAAACGGTACATTGATGATATTTTTGTTCTATGGAGGGGTGATTCAAAACAGCTCCAGGCGTTCAATGCTTTTCTTAACTCGTGTTCTGAGCACCTGAGATTTACTATACAATCTGACACACATCAAATCAGTTTCCTTGATCTTCTGATTTTGTGTGAGGATAATGTTCTATACACTGATCTTCACAGGAAACCTACTGATCGTAACAGTTTATTGAGGGCTGATAGTTGTCACCCACTTCCCTTGAAAAACAGTTTGCCCTACATCCAATTCTGTCAAATCAAAAGAATTTGCAAAAAACAAATCAGATTGACAGAAATATGGCTGAGACGCAAAGAAAATTCATGGAGAGGGGGTACAGAAATGGTCAGATTAATACTGCCATTGAGAAAATTCAAAACAAATCGAGACCTGATCTCTTTCAAGGACAGTCTCACAAAAATAAGCATTCTTGCGTTCTAATGACACGCTATTCTAAGTGCTCTGAACAAATTAAGGGAATAGCTCAAACATTGGCACATTCTAAGATCCGATGACAGTATTGGTAACGTTTTCTCGGACCCTCCCTTGGTTGTATTCTCGCGGGCAGAAATCTCAGAGATCAATTGGTTAAACTCGGATTTACCACCCCTAAATATCTATTTGCGCCTCTACCGTATGGAAACTACAAGTGTAATGGCGGCGCTCAATGCAATGGCACTTACAAATGTAGATCCTTCCAACACCCCCAAACAGGGAAACAGATCCCAATCAAAGGTGTTATTACGTGCTCCACTAAGGCAGTTATTTATCTTATAACCTGTCCTTGTGGTAAAAATTGTGTGTGTAAAACAAAGCGCAAATTAAAAAGTACGAATCTTGGAGCATCGTAGCACCATTAGTTGCAAAAACCCAGTCGCTGCCCACTTTTTGGAAGCGAACCGCTCGATTTCGTCCCTACGTTATATCGGCATCGAACATGTCACTCTCCCTAGGAGAGGGGGTGACCTCGACAACTTATTGTTAAAACGAGAGGCTGCCTGGATCTTTCATTTAAAAGACACTTGCTCCCTTCGGTCTCAACGTAGACTTTGATTTGAAGCCATTCTTGGGATTATAGTGATTTTGCTATTCATTGTAAATATTTGTGGGCCTATGTAGCCAAGTTGTATCTATGACCGTATGCTATCTATTCATGTTTTTTATAGGTTCTGTTTATCTGTGAATTAACCAATGATAATCAGGCCACACCCGGCCATGATTACAGACACCTGTGTGTGTCCTTTGACACTATATAAACTAGTGACCCGCAGTGTTTGTCATTATACCCTGATGAAGACAGCTTGTCTGTGGAAACGTTGGTTATTAGGTTATTAAATTATTGCATCTGAGCTCCTAGAGTGTGCAGCTCTCCTTTTCTTTTTCAAGTGTCCAGGGCTTTACTCAGCAGGACAGTTGACCGGTGTGTCCAGGGCTTTACTCAGCAGGACAGCTGACCAGTGTGTCCAGGGCTTTACTCAGCAGGACAGTTGACCGGTGTGTCCAGGGCTTTACTCAGCAGGACAGCTGACCGGTGTGTCCAGGGCTTTACTCAGCAGGACAGCTGACCGGTGTGTCCAGGGCTTTACTCAGCAGGACAGTTGACCGGTGTGTCCAGGGCTTTACTCAGCAGGACAGCTGACCGGTGTGTCCAGGGCTTTACTCAGCAGGACAGTTGACCGGTGTGTCCAGGGCTTTACTCAGCAGGACAGTTGACCGGTGTGTCCAGGGCTTTACTCAGCAGGACAGCTGACCGGTGTGTCCAGGGCTTTACTCAGCAGGACAGCTGACCGGTGTGTCCAGGGCTTTACTCAGCAGGACAGCTGATGTACTCACCCTTTGATAGTTCTGCTCCTTCTGGATCTGGTCCACCTGCTCCACCAGCTGTCTCACTCTCAGCTGCAGCTCTGTCAGCTTGTCTTTGGCTGCAATCTCTGCATAGTTATTGGTGTGCTCTCCCACTTGGATGTCCAGGTGAACTCTCTGAGAAAACAAAGGGTGGTTCACAACAATTGAGAGGAGCATCAACATCGGTATTTTCAAAACAATTCTTATTGCCCCACATTGAGTGCAATAGCCTTTTCCTTCTTCCCCACTAATGCACTTACAAGCATTCCTCCAGCGAAGAGGGCAAACTTGGAGGAGTTGGAGTGAAGGCAGATCTGATGTTCTCCTGGGGTGTGAGAGGTGAAGGTGAATCTTCCCTCCGAGCCGTACTGACGAGACAGGATCACCTAGAGTCCAGACAGGAAACACAGAGGAAGCAACACTTTTTCAGTATAATTACTATTCAATTCAATACAGCTTTGGTCATAATTCTTCTCACAGGCTTCTCTCAAAGAATATCATATGAAGTGAATGATACTGGTTGCAGAGTATAACATCCTACCTTCTCATCAGGGTCTTTAACCTCAACAAACATCCCCAGACCCTGTGTGGCAGGAAGGTACTCTTCTTTCTGTTTGTCGTACAATTGTGTACGATAGTTTCCTAAAAAAAAAAAATGCAAATGTTTACACATGCCAGCCAATGACTGCTTTTACTGGTCCTATTCTTACAAGTGCCTAGTTAGGGGGGTAAACTGTTAGGGCCAAGGGTTGTTTCTGGGCAGGGCCTACAGTATGTTAACAGGAAGTGGATATGGACATGGATGGTACGACAGTAAAATATGATGTTACACTAGATATGGTTTATATGTATTCAAGTATCCAAAGCAAGTGTGACATATTGAAAATATGATAGTTGTAGCTAGCTGAGGACATCAATATGACAAGTGTCTGTTGTTTTGTGTTGTTAGGTATTACTGCACTGTTGAGATAGAAACATTAGCATTTCGCACCTGCGATACCATCTGAAAATATGTGTATGCGACCAAAACAATTTGATTTGTATAACTAACGTTAGCTAGCTGGTTAGTTAGCTTGCTCATGAATTTGTGTAACTACCTAGCCAAGTCTGTCAACAAGTCAACTGAAAAGTAAGTTTACATCCCCCCGTACAGACGCATTTAATGTTGGCTGGCTAGATAACTAGATTGCTGGCTAACTGTTAGCTAACTCGAACTCGGAAGGTAGTTTGACGAGCTAGCTGTTAACGTTAGCTGACTTCCCAAGGCTAAATAGCATAGCAATCCCAATGGATACAAGATACTGACCGATGATCATCGTTTCATCCGGAATTTCCTCTATAAAGCATTTCTTCTCAGTCTCCCCGATGTGAAAGTACAGCGAGGAGACGACGGTGTAATAAACATTCAAAAGTAAAAGTGACAACACACAAGAACGCATTTTGACTGCCACCATCTTCCAGGCGGTGATAAACGAAGGATGTTGTGATCTGAGTCTGCGCAGATACCAATGCCACGTAACCTATTGCTTGCCATCGTCCAATCAACACTCGAGTTAGACTTGTGGTTATTGTAGTTAAGTAATGTTCTTCCGGTTCCATGATCATGCGCGTTTTTTTTTCTCCAACCAAACACTAACAAAACGAATGAAAGTAATTAACTGATCATGGTCTTTAATTTAGACAATTAATTTAATCAGTAGTAGAGCTTTGCTGGAAGAAGTCCAGGGCAAACGTGTGTACTGTCTGTCACACAAACACCAAATGATATGTAAGCATTAGGACTACACATTAGAAGACACGGAGTTTACTCATTTGGAGAGACCAGTTTTATTGAGTCTTACAGGATAACTCAACAATGGCCATGTTCAGTTTGAATCATTAAAATCACAGTAAAGGTTATATTTCCACTCAAATAATATGTATAAGCAGCCACCTCGAAGGAAATAAACACTTTATGCAGAATCATTAAAGAATCATTAAATGACGTAAAATTAAAAACACAATTCCCACGGATTTAATGCAAAATGAGAAAGGTAGTGGAATCACACTGTAGAGATTTGTAAAGTCTCCATTAGGCCTTACCAAATGAAAATGTGCCTGAAATCCTTCCCAACAGCCACTGTGTCAGTCCAACATTGGTATAAATAAGGTCAGGGTAATAAATTGAAAGAAAACCAAAACAGACACAGTCATGATGAGTTGGGTATAATCGAAAACCTGTTTGGAACGACGTTGATTATAGTAGCCAAATTATTCTTACATTTTTAGTCATTTAGCAGACGCTCTTATCCAGAGCGACTTACATTTTTTTTTTTTTTATACTGGCCCCCCGTGGGAATCGAACCCACACCCATGCTCTATCAACTGAGCTACATCCCATGCCGGCCATTCCCTCCCCTACCCTGGACGACGCTGGGCCAATTGTGCGCCGCCCATGAGTCTCCCGGTCGCGGCCGGCTGCGACAGAGCCTGGATTCGAACCAGGATCTCTAGTGGCACAGTTAGCAAATTCTTCATATATTCTGTCTGACATGGTCGTGGTAGTTGTTCTCCCAAAATATTGTCAAAGTCAGCAAAGAAAACTTCACACAGAGAGAAAATCTGGCAAAGGACAGATAAGGAACCCGTAGCATATCAGCATCAGAAATGCAGCAATCATATTGAACCCAAAGTCAAGAGCAGTTAGTTTAATTTTTTTTTAAACTAAATCAAATCCTATACATATGTGAATTAGCTCAATCACTCAGAACCCAATGGTATAAAAAGATGAGGTGAAAATAAATCATCTTTATACAACTTATACAGAAAATGTTGTGAAAATGATTTCCTTTGAAAGTTATTTAACAAATCAGTGTTTTACAGATCGATCCAAAACAACAATTATCCCCTGTACTAGGAAAGCAAAAAGAACAGGGGAAAGGTTGAATAAAAACAAACTGCCTCCATTAAAAGGTCACTCATATACGTGGTAGTAACCACAAGTCATGGCCCCCCGTGTAGCTCAGTTGGTAGAGCATGGCGCTTGCAATGCCAGGGTTGTGGGTTCAATTCCCACGGGAGGCCAGTATGAAAAATGTATGCACTCACTAACTAAGTCGCTCTGGATAAAATGACTAAAATGTTATTTCACAAACATTGGACGATACCATAAGTGACTGTCATCATCGCAGTGCCTCAGCAGATAAACATTTTTACAATCTTTAGAAAATTCACTTTGGATGTGTTGCTGAATCTGTATTCTTCGCAAACAGTTCATTTTACGAATACCTCGCACATATAGAAATATGTTTTTCCCTCTCAGTAAAACCTCCTGTTTCTTTCCTGGCGCTTCTGAAAGACTACAGCCCCTACAACACCACAAACTACAATTCCCAGTAGAGCACATAGCAGAAGCAGGAAGACCTTCCAGCCAGTAAGAGGTGTGCTTCGGAAGTTACCAGTATGATCATCAATGTTGTCTGTGAAAGAGAAAATGAAAGAAGAATGATCATGGTTAACTCTTACTCTAACAAGCCTACTCACCTACTGTGCCTGATCTACAGTAAGATGACATACCGGACTGTAGTCAAATAGAATACAATCTTTATTGTCTATTTGGTTAGAACAGAAATGGGTTTTCTTTATCAAATAAAATCAATCGACCAACCTTTGGGGGACTTCAGCAGGCTGACGCTCGGCTCAATCTTGGTCCAGTCCAGACTGTCCTCATCAGGTGTGTGATCTACCATCAGCTGGTACATCTTCATAGAGATTATGTCATGGTTATCTGTAACATGGGAGTTGTTTTAGCGTCAATCACCATAGACTTCAGATGTACAATGGACAAAGCCAGACTGTGAAACGACAAACAAGTTATTGGTTCACAGCAAGATTTTTAAAATAATAATTAAATCAAGGTCAGTCATTATCTTTCTCAGTGTGCAGTTTTTACATTTAGTGTCGAGACCTAAAAAAAAAAAAAAAGTTGATCTACATCTTGAAAGATTCAGTCTCCGTTTAATCCACCCTGACCCAACCTACCAGAGATCCCCTGTAGCAAGAATCAGTCTCTCCAACCTGACCCAACCTACCAGAGATCCCCTGTAGCAATAATCAGTCTCTCCAACCTGACCCAACCTACCAGAGATCCCCTGTAGCAAGATCAGTCTCCTACAACCTGACCCAACCACCCAGAGTCCCTCTAGTCAGAATCAGTTCTACAACTGACCCAACTACCAGATCCCTGTAGCAAGAATCAGTTGCTACAACCTTACCCAACCTACCAGAGATCCTGTAGCAATAATCATCTATCAACTGCACCAATTTTACAAGATCCCCTGTAGCAATATCGCTAATGCAAACTGACCAACTACCAGGATCCCCTGAGCAATAATCATTCTTCCCAAGTGTACGGGGGAGGTGGACACCCCAGATGTCAATGCACTCTTTCCATTCATTCTTATCATCAATGTCAATCATCACCTGTAGAGATCAGAATGGTACAATTCAGCAATTGCCATTGTTTGAATAGAAATGTATCATCTAAGTTGAATGCACCAATTTGTAAGTCGCTCTGGATAAGAGCATCTGCTAAATGACAAAAATGTAAATTACATAACATGTACCCTATAACATAGGGGAAAAAATCATATATTTCATAACACAAGAGGCCAGTTTCCCAGACTGCAGTTTCCCAGCATCTCCTTTAAGCCTTTTAATCCAGGACTAGGGTTAGCGTCATCTGTGTTTAGGAAACCAGTCCAAGATGTCTGGACTGGAGTCATTTATATCATTTAAAAAGGGATTCCTACCGTGAGCCTGCTCTTGGAGTAGCGAATGGCCAGGTAGGTGTCATGGTCTTTGTTCCTGATCTCAGAAGAGCAGCCTCCCAGTTCAGAGTTACGTCCATCCTTCCCATGGTCATAGGGCAGAGAACCATTATTCACCATGGCAGAGATGTAGGGGAAGGACCGCTAGTGGGGAACACAAGGGATGTAAGGACAGAAAAACAGGAAAATATTCTATATAAAACATTGTAAATCAATTATTTGATCCTAGTCCTGACTCAGTTACCAATCAATCCATCTTACTCTGTGATGCAAAAATACTTGTACATGTAATTCAAAATGTGTACTAAACCAAATGCAGCATATTAAAGGTGCTGTTCATGGTGTAACAAAAAATGACCTTATCAGAAAGCAACTCAAAAGCTTCATATGACAAAATAACAAAAAAACTCAAAAGAAAATACATCACATTAAAATCCTTCCATCACATTGAAATTAAACGCAGGAGAATAATGATAAATGTAGCTGCATCAACTCACGTCAGCCGCCTCATCGTTATGGTACGTGTCTATAAAAAGGGCGAGGCCGTGGAACTTAGCATTGCTGCCAAACACAGACCCTGCAAGGGAAGAATCACGTCAAGTCAACCAGCCAGACGCTGCACTTACATCCATCCCATGGAGATCATTGCGGAAGGTATCCACAAATAAAGCCAGGCCAACAAAATGATCTTGGTTTCCAAAGACTGGGCCTGAATGGAAGGCAAAGAGGCGAGATATGATGAGCACATGACTGAGACCTGAAGTGCTTACGGGAAATACAACCCAGTGCTACCACATCACATAGACTAGTCTATTAATTGGATTGCCAAAGCTTTGTACTGGAATGAGGAAGTGATTGATGATAAAGATGTTATTTTGGCAAGATGATGCATTACCTGGATTAAGTCTCTCCTTTGTGTACCAGATGGCGATGCCATCTCCATGGAAATGTTTATTCCCCGACCCGTGGATCTTGTACTGCACGTGCATCTCCCAGTCTTTCAGATAAACAGGCTGCACAGAGAAAGCAAAATGACATTGGATCATCAATTCAACCATGAATTGGACATATTCAGTTTAAAATGTAGATATTCTCCAATCAAGCTATAACAGATTTGGGAGTGGACTGTATTGTCTGTCTGTAATGCCTAACAGAATACATTTCATAGAAGCTAGTTCCTTACTCACCACCGTGTTCCAAATAGATCCCTGTTTACTTCTCTCATCAGGCGTCAGGCGCACATACGAGCTGGTGACTAGCGTGCTCCCCCAGAAGTCCCACTGACTGGATGGGCTGCTTCCAACACCTGTTTAAACATTTTGGTGAAGAGTCAAGCAGGATTTCAGGGACACATGGGAGAAGAATGTGAAGAATTCCGTTGTGCATCAATCGCTCATTGCCACCCCTAGCCCAGCTCTCGAGAACCCAAGGGGGCCCAAGGTTGCTTCCAGCCGGTCCCAGTCTTGGGTTCTCAGCTGATGGTTTGGAGGACAGCTGGCTCCATGTGAGCTACGATCCCAACGCTCTGTTTTAACGTTTAGAAACATTATTAATCCTTGCTAGCAATATGGTTTTGGAAAACTTTGGAACTTAACTTTCATTTACATTTTAGTCATTTAGCAGACGCTCTTATCCAGAGCGACTTACAGGAGCAATTAGGGTTAAGTGCCTTGCTTAGGGGCACATCAACAGATTTTTCACCTAGTCAGCTCGGGGATTAGAACCAGCGATCTTTCGGTTACTGGCACAACGCTCTTACCCACTAAGCTAACTTTCATATAAATGAGATAGAATCTTTCAAATACAAAATATATAGGACCTTATATGATATCTCATAGGTAGACTGGCTCTGGAAGCAAAGAACAGACAAATACTCCATTAAACATTAAATCGATTCTCAATTGCGGTATGGTTCAAGAAACATCAATCCCTCTACTTCCATATCATATCAAAATTATTTCACAAATGCTAAATATACACTTACTGTACAATGTTTTAACCGGCTTTATCACAGTTGCAGACAACAGTCTTTTTCAGTGACAACACGTTTCTGGTGGCCTTCATCCATTACACACAGGAGCATGCTAGATAGCTAATTAGCACAGGTGGTCCCTCTGTCTTCTGTCTGTCTTCCACAAGCACACGCTGTAACATGGAGATATGGCCGTGTGGGAACACTAGCCCTATAAAAAGGTGTGTATCAATTTAACCTTTGGTTTTTTGAAAATTATTTATTGCTGATATGAAAGACAAGGTCCTTAAGACAAACCCCACCCCACCCCACCCACACACACACACACACACACACACACAGAAGACGCCTTGACTTGTGTGTAATGTAATGGAACAGAGTCATGATCAAGGGCTAGGGGTCGTCACTTTTTACCACAGCCACAAAGTCAGAAGGCCTACCTTCCCGACCAATCAGATGAGGGAGTGTGATGACGCAAGTTTTGGGCTAAAGAGTAACTTGTCTTTTCTTTTTTAGATAACTAGTTGCTAACTTTTGCTACTCCCATCTAAAATGAGCTAGCTAGCCAGCATAAGCGATTCGATTCCAAGTACAGAGGATATATTCTATTTGACAGAGCAACGTTGTTAGTTTCCCTACATGCCTTTCATCCTAATACATTTACGTCATTTAGCAGACGCTCTTATCCAGAGCGACTTACAAATTGGTGCATTCACCTTATGATAGCCAGTGGGACAACAACTTTACAATTTTTTTAATATATATATATATACATATACATATATACAGTGGGGAGAACAAGTATTTGATACACTGCCAATTTTGCAGGTTTTCCTACTTACAAAGCATGTAGAGGTCTGTAATTTTTATCATAGGTACACTTCAACTGTGAGCGACGGAATCCAAAACAAAAATCCAGAAAATCACATTGTATGATTTTTAAGTAATTAAAAATCTACATGCTTTGTAAGTAGGAAAACCTGCAAAATCGGCAGTGTATCAAATACTTGTTCTCCCCACTGTGTGTGTGTGTGTATATATATATATATATATTTATTTAAAAAATAAAAAAACATATATATATATATATATATGTTTTTTTATTTTTTAAATATATATATATATATATATATATATATATATATATATATATTTGTATATATTTTATTATTATTAATTATTCTTTATTTTTATTATTGTTTTTTGTGGGGGTGGGGTATGGGGGGGGGGGGGGTAGAATAATTACTTTTATACTATCCCAGGTATTCCTTAAAGAGGTAGGGTTTCAAGTGTCTCCGGAAGGTGGTCAGTGACTCCGCTGTCCTGGCGTCGTGAGGGAGCTTGTTCCACCATTGGGGTGCCAGAGCAGCGAACAGTTTTGACTGGGCTGAGCGGGAACTGTGCTTCCGCAGAGGTAGGGGGAACAGCAGGCCAGAGGTGAAAGAACGCAATGCCCTCGTTTGGGTGTAGGGACTGATCAGAGCCTGAAGGTAAGGAGGTGCCATTCCCCTCACAGCTCACAGCCAATAGGCTCTCGCTTGGCTCTGCCCACCTCCTTGCTTGTTATGCCCACTATGATTCAATTGCTCCCGTTGGAAACGACAGGCTGTGGTCCATCTTCGGTTAGTTATACAAAAATCTTTGGCAACCCCGTGTGCACACTGTATCGCCTCCCGTGTTCCAGAGTAACTAGCACGGTTTTCTCGGGTACACAACAGGCGGGGGCGACACCGTGTGCAAGGTTGATAGTTAGGCTGTTCATGAAGAAACCAATGGGATGCTCCAGGAACGCCCCGAAATGCGGGCTGCAGTCGCCCACTATTGGGCTAGTTGGCAAACTAGCTAGTTAATTAGTATACTAGCTAGCTAATTAGTATGACTGGCTCCTAGCAGCTAACGTTACTGACAAGATACAAGTTATCATTATCACAGAAATCATTGTGGATGCGGCGGAGCGGTTCCTGGGGCTGAAAGATCTCAGCGAAGGAGTTGTATGGGATATTGTCACAAGCCGTACCACCCTCTCAGGCCCAAGAAGGGAGATTTGGAAGAATTAAGAAGTGAGAGTTGTTTTGTCAATGTACTATTTTTATTTGGGTGGATTAAGTTAGTTTCCCTATTACATATGGATTTTATTTTTTACCTTGTTTTGCTTTCAACCCGTTAAAAGTTGGTGGCGGCAATATACCTTTTTGGGTTGTAGCCTGCCATAAAACCCACAGAAGAAGAAGAATCATTATCACAAGCTGTTAACGTACTTACCCTGATACGGTTTCATGAGCGAATGCTCCCGCTTCAAATGCTCTACGTTGCCGTCTGTTATATCGCATTGCACTAGAGTAAAGTGAAGTAATAGGAAAAGCAGTGGTCTGCTGATAAATGTACCAAAACCTCTCATTTTGCTGCCTCGGAAAGACACCATGGATCCTGGATAACCATCTTCCTGATCCGGGTAGGACAAAGCAACTCCCACTAAAATAGTTCCTATGTTACTTTTCAGTTCAGGAACTTTGACCGTGTCTTATTTTTGTTGCTGTTGAAATAAGCGTCTATATGAAAATAATATTTTAATTGTTACCTTTCAAAGTTCAAACAGTATTTTGTTTGATTATCGCTTTCAACTTCACATGTACGGAATGTTTTCATAGTTGGTAAAAAGTACTATAGCCAATCATAGATGAGCACATAGTTAAAGTCAACAGAAACGACCAATTAGGGGCTTGGTTATAGTTGAAACGTTCGAAGTATGCACATTTTCACAACTTTGCAAATGGCAGTACTGACGTTTCTCTCTTTCTCCACTAGATGGTGCCACTGCATCAGTTTGTTTATTTGAAGAGTTCGTAACTTCCTGCTGTGACGGCCCACCACAAGGTCGCAAATAAAAACAATGAAAAATAAAAGCTGAAATACTTAATTCACAACAAACATAAGAAGAAAAAAAAGAATGAGACAAACTGAACTGACTGTTTTATCTTTATTGCACGTGAATTCAAATGTGCAGCTAGATTCTCTCTCTGTGCTTTGGCTCCAACAATTGGTACCTCGGTCTTGTCTTGATTTAACTGGAGGAAGTTGTGAGCCATCCAAGTATTTAAATCCCTAACACAGTCTAATAATTTATCCGTGGAGCTAAAATCCTCTGGTGACACGGAAATGTAAAGTTATGTATGGTCTGCATAGCAGTGAAAATCAATTATGTGCTTTCTGATAATGCTGCCAAGGCTAACATATACTGAGCAAAAATATAAATGCAACAATTTCAACGACTTTACTGAGTTACAGTTCATATAAGGACATCAGTCAACTGAAATAAATTCATTAGGCTCTAATCTATGGATTTCACATTACTGGGCAGGGGCACAGCCATGGGTGGGCCTGGGAGGGCATAGGCCCACCCACTTAGCAGCCAGGCCCACCCACGGAGGAGCCAGGCCCAGCCATTCCTGCAGTCAGCATGCCAATTGCACGCTCTGTCAACTTGAGACATCTGTGGCATTGTGTTGTGTGACAAACTGCACATTTTAGAGTGGCCTTTATTGTCCCCAGCACAAGGTGCACCTGGGTAATGAGCATGCTGTTTAATCAGCTTCTTGAAATGCCACACCTGTCAGGTGGATGGATTATCTTGGCAAAGGAGAAATGCTCACTAACAGGGATGTAAACAAATTTGTGCACAACATTTGAGAGAAATAAGCTTTTTGTGCGTATGGAACATTTCTGTGATCTTTTATTTCAGCTCATGAAACATGGGACCAACACTTTCCATGTTGCATTTATATTTTCGTTCAGTGTATATACACTGCTCAAAAAAATAAAGGGAACACTAAAATAACACATCCTAGATCTGAATGAATGAAATAATCTTATTAAATACTTTTTTCTTTACATAGTTGAATGTGCTGACAACAAAATCACACAAAAATTATCAAATGGAAATCAAATTTATCAACCCATGGAGGTCTGGATTTGGAGTCACCCTCAAAATTAAAGTGGAAAACCACACTACAGGCTGATCCAATTTTGATGTAATGTCCTTAAAACAAGTCGAAATGAGGCTCAGTAGTGTGTGTGGCCTCCACGTGCCTGTATGACCTCCCTACAACGCCTGGGCATGCTCCTGATGAGGTGGCGGATGGTCTCCTGAGGGATCTCCTCCCAGACCTGGACTAAAGCATCCGCCAACTCCTGGACAGTCTGTGGTGCAACGTGGCGTTGGTGGATGGAGCGAGACATGATGTCCCAGATGTGCTCAATTGGATTCAGGTCTGGGGAACGGGCGGGCCAGTCCATAGCATCAATGCCTTCCTCTTGCAGGAACTGCTGACACACTCCAGCCACATGAGGACTAGCATTGTCTTGCATTAGGAGGAACCCAGGGCCAACCGCACCAGCATATGGTCTCACAAGGGGTCTGAGGATCTCATCTCGGTACCTAATGGCAGTCAGGCTACCTCTGGCGAGCACATGGAGGTCTGTGCGGCCCCCCAAATAAATGCCATCCCACACCATGACTGACCCACCGCCAAACCGCTCATGCTGGAGGATGTTGCAGGCAGCAGAACGTTCTCCACGGCGTCTCCAGACTCTGTCACGTCTGTCACGTGCTCAGTGTGAACCCGTTTTCATCTGTGAAGAGCACAGGGCGCCAGTGGCGAATTTGCCAATCTTGGTGTTCTCTGGCAAATGCCAAACGTCCTGCACGGTGTTGGGCTGTAAGCACAACCCCCACCTGTGGACGTCGGGCCCTCATACCACCCTCATGGAGTCTGTTTCTGACCGTTTGAGCAGACACATGCACATTTGTGGCCTGCTGGAGGTCATTTTGCAGGGCTCTGGCAGTGCTCCTCCTGCTCCTCCTTGCACAAAGGCGGAGGTAGCAGTCCTGCTGCTGGGTTGTTGGCCTCCTCCACGTCTCCTGATGTACTGGCCTGTCTCCTGGTAGCGCCTCCATGCTCTGGCCACTACGCTGACAGACACAGCAAACCTTCTTGCCACAGCTCGCACTGATGTGCCATCCTGGATGAGCTGCACTACCTGAGCCACTTGAGTGGGTTGTAGACTCCGTCTCATGCTACCACTAGAGTGAAAGCACCGCCAGCATTCAAAAGTGACCAAAACATCAGCCAGGAAGCATAGGAACTGAGAAGTGGTCTGTGGTCACCACCTGCAAAACCAGTCCTTTATTGGGGGTGTCTTGCTAATTGCCTATAATTTCCACCTGTTGTCTATTCCATTTGCACAACAGCATGTGACATTTATTGTCAATCAGTGTTGCTTCCTAAGTGGACAGTTTGATTTCACAGAAGTGTGATTGACTTGGAGTTACATTGTGTTGTTTAAGTGTTCCCTTTATTTTTTTGAGCAGTGTATAAACTGAACAGTCTTGGACCCAAAATCGAACCTTGTGGAACGCCATGTGATATGTATTTTCTCTGAGTTATGTTCACCAAGGGTGACAAAACATTCTCAACTGGTTAAATAGGTCCCAAACCAATTTAGAACTGGACCGGAGAGGTCCAGAAGGACATCATGGTCAACAGTGTCGAATGCAGCACTTAAATCTAAGAGTACAAGGACAGAGAGCTGTTTGACATCTCTGTTGGCTCTAAGATCATTTACCACTTTAACTAAGGCTGTCTCAGTGCTGTGGTGGGTACGAAAACCAGATTGGAATTAGAAAAATATACAGTTGGTACGTAAAAAATAATTTAGCTGTTTGAACACCAATTTCTCCAGAATTTTGGTTAAGAATGGAAGGTTGGAGATTGGCCGAAAATTGCTAAGAGCTGAAGAATCTAGATTACTTTTCTGCAGAAGGGGTTTCACCAGAGCAGTTTTTAGTGCAGTGGGGAAAGTGCCTGTGAACAGGGAGTGATTAACAATAGCTTTCAGATATGCAATTAAAAACTGTTTTGAAGAAGGTGGTGGGGACAGGATCGAGTAGGCAGGTAGAAGGCTTAAGTTGTGATATTACTTTCCTGAGCATGTCTGTTCAACCAGGGGAAATCCATAGTGCCTTTGTGTGGTAGGCTAATGCACAAATCATCAGACTTCTCATCAGGTCTTGCTTGACTCATACCCAGCCTAATGTTGGTTATCTGGTTAGCCTTGACTCATACCCAGCCTAATGTTGGTTATCTTATCTCTGAAATATGCCGCAAACTCATCACATTTAGATGTGGAGGAAAGTTTACATAGGTTTGTGTGGGTAGGATTTATCAGGCCATCAAAGGTCGAGAAGAGCACTCTCCAATTATTCTGATTAATATTGACCAAGTTAGAAAAATGAGCCCTTCTGGCATTTCTAATTGCCTTGTTATATATGCCAAGTTGCTCTCTCAGACTATCATTATGGACCTGCAACTTTGACTTTCTCCACTTCCGATCTGCCTTTCTGCAATTTCTCTTTCATTGATTAGTTTCCTCACTCCAAGGGGCTCTCCGTTTGGATGTGGCTTTTCCAACTTTACTGGAGCTATGGCATCAATGGTTGCCCTTAATTTGCTATTAAAGTTATCAACTAAATCATAACAAGAGGAAGACAGAATAGGTGGTGGAGTATTGTTCATACACTCAATAAAATCTGTAGCGACTTCAGAGGTAAGATAGTGTTTCTTAATAATGCGTTCAGTATTACCCTGTGCTTTGGGCAACAAGGTAGTAAAGAATCCACAGTGGTGATCAGATAAAGCAACATCAACAATAAAGGATATGTCAATAGAAAGCCCCTTGGTAATAACCAGATCCAGAGTATGGCTGTGGTTATGGGTGGGCCCAGTAACATGTTGGATAAAGTCCATACATGCAATCAATTTTGCGCTCAGTAATAAGGTCATTCACGAGAAAGGTTTTACTTGTGATTGCTCTAACATTTAAAAATGCCATATTCAGTGAGTGTGGGCCACTCTGCCCCTGGGGCATCTGTCTTGAGGTAACCAATGGAATAACAACCAAATTATTAAAGTTACAACCATGTTTTCTGACAGTCTCCAATCTATTAGAAAGGTAGGAGATAACAGTTTGTATAACCTCACTAGAAGGCGGAGTTAAAGGAACATAAATTAGGTTACTCACAATAACCATAGTGACATTTCTAAAGGAGTTGATATGGTTTCCAAGTCCTCTGTTGCTTATTCTGACAGGGAGAACTGGAGCGCTACCAGAACCTGTCCGTCAGTCTCTAAAACAGTTCGATGTTGCTGGAAATAATCCTGGAACCCCTGCAGTTAGGGTGAATCCCGTCTCTTTTAAAAAGTGCTGGTTGCTCCCACAGCAAATCAAAGTTGTCCCAAAAAGAGACATTCTTGTCGTTGCAAAGTTCCTTCAGGTACTCGTTCAGGGCAAAGAGTCGTCTGAAATGTTCCGAACAACTTCGGAACTACATGTAATCAGTAACGTGAT